AATATAATATATAAATATCATATTACAATATAAAATAATAATTATTTTCGTAATTTAACATAAATACGTAAAAAGGTTGTAAATCAATTGAGAATTTAATAGGTAATCTTGAGTTAAAATAACGAGTGATTTCTAAAAAGTTATATAGACTAAATAGTTCATGTGTTTAATATATTTTCAATAAAAAAAATTGTAAACGCAATCAATTAATAGAAAAACTACAACATAAAAATTTTAATATTTAAAAAGGAATGCAAAAAATAAAATGTTATGTTCCACTAAAAATTCTAAAGGATATTTCATTTGCATAGCTTTCATTTGAAAATATCACTGGCTATTCCAACATAGATCAAATTATATTATAATGGAATTTTAATGGATTTAATGATTCGAGTTACCATTATTTATTTCTTGTGTGAATTTTCTTTTTGGGAACATATCAATGAAAGTTGCATTGGAAAGCTAATTGCAGTGATAGATACAGACAATTTCATATTGGGGGCACTATTTAGCTAATAGAAAAAATATACCATCAAAATAACATAATGTCATTACAATATTTAAATTTTACTTTTCAAAATTTGTCATCTTTCTCTTCTGTAATACATGTTTACAAATCGTTACAGTTACAATAAGTTAAAAGTATTCAAAAAAAATATAATTTTTCTCAACTAAAAGTAAGCAAATCATTGAAAAGAATATATCTTTTAAAATCTGATGAACAAAAAATTTATGTTGTAGTATAGATGACTCGATAATTTTGTTGATGAATTTATAAATTATGACTAATTGATTATAATATTAATGAGAAAATTGTAATTGTATATAATATAATATTACGATATATAAATAGATTATATATTAACACATATGAGAAAAATAATATATTCTTTAAAAATCTTATGAACAAAAAATCTATGTGGTAGTATAGTTGACTCGACAATATTGTTAATTAATTTATAAATTATGAATAATTGATTATAATATTAAAGAGAAAACTGTAATTGTATATAATATAATATTAAGATATACAAATAATTGATATATTAACACATATGACCGAAAAAGTTCTATACATAATATTATGAATTTTTAAGCAAATACAAAATTTAAAAACATATGAAAGAACAATATAAAATAAAAAAAAAATATTAAATCTGACAAATGATATTAAAAATTACTAAATTGTACTTATTAATTCTATATGTAACTTTTAGGTGATATACAATAGTTATTTTTACCTTTATCCATGTAGGTTAGGAAAAAACACTTGATTATTCTAATTTTAAATTACTATTTATTTGCTATTAGCTTTTTACACATATATATATATTATTTTAATTATTTAACATTTAATATGTAATAAATATAACTCAATTGAGAATTTATTAGGTAATCTTGAGATAAAATAATGAGTTACTTTAAAAAAATTATATGGATTAAAAAGTTCATGTGTTTAATGTATGTTATTAGAAAAATTATAAACACAGTTACTCAATAAATACTACCTAAAATATGATGTTTAAGAAGGAATACAAAAATAAAATTAGTATATTGCAATGGAAAATGCATCTGTAAGATATTCCAAAGAAAATTCCAACGGATATTTCATTGGTAAAGCTTTTATTGGAAAATTTCATTAACTATTCCAACAGAGAACAAATTAAATTACATTGAAAATTTTGTGAATTAAATCATTCCAATTACTATAATTTATTATTGTTTGAATCTCTGTTGAATTTTTTTACGGATCGTATTTCAACCGTTGAAAAAACTGTCATTGAAATTGTAAAAAAATTAATAGAAGTTCCATTGGAAAACTAATTGCAGTGGCGGATCCAAAATAATTTTATATTGAGCACTATATAGTTAATAGAAAAAGTATACCATCAAAATAACATAATGCCATTACAATTTATAAATTATACTTTACATAATTTGTCATGTTTCTAACTTGTAATACATTCTAACACATTAGTACAGTCACAATAAGTTAAAAAGTATTTAATAAAAAAAATGACGATTTTTCTCAATTCAACATAAGAAAATCATTGAAAATTATATTTTTTTAAAAAAAATTATAAACAAAAAATCTATGTTGTAGTATAGCTGACTCGGCAATATAATTGATTCATTTATAAATTACGAATATATAACTAGAATTCCCCTTGCATTAGTTATAAAAGACATAAAAAATATATTTTGAAGATATAGAAAAAAATATGTTGCAAAAGAGAGATTTGAAACTGTCATCAAGATTGAAATAATATAATTAGAGGATAAAATTATAATTTTGAGATATATTATATTTTCTTTAGTTGTGATGCCGCGTTTATGTTATAACATTAATAAAGTTATGAGTTGAATTAAATTATAATTGGTTGAGTTGTGAATTAATTCATTATGTATCTTTCTTTCTTTCAATTTCGTTTTTAAAATAGGGGACATGATAAAAATTATGAAAAAATGTTCCCACAAATTTTTATTAAATTCCTTACGCTATATGCTTTAGGATGGAGGGTTGTGTCGGATCTATAAAATAAACATAGATCTGCTCATGATTCCAATAAAATATTTTTGCTAGAATTAGATTCCATGTGGCATATGTTTCTTACATAGATCCGAAAATTCATACTAAGAAAAAACAAAAAATGGATGTAAATATACAACTATCACCAATATTAACTATGTGAGTTAAAAGGAGAAATAAACGAGTTGTATGTGAAATTTTATTCAACTAACACATAAATTCAATGAGTATTAAAATGAGTTAGTTGCTTAATATTTTTCTCACACATTGGGAAAAAATTCTTAACCTTTTAATCTAATAATCAATATAAAAGTACATTTTTTTATTAAATATATTATTATTATAAATATATAAATAAGTAATATTAAATTTTATTTTATCTTATGTGATTATATTAGTTGTTGTCTAATAAATAAGATATTTTGATAACAACGTCATTATATGAAACACGTACAAAAAATGATGCAATACATATAAATGTGCTAGAATTCGTTTAATAAATAAAGTATTATTTATCAATAGAAATAAAAACTAATAAAATAATAGTAATGGAATTGAAAAAAGAAAACGTCTGAATTTTCTTAGACAAGTATGATTACCAATATTTAGAAAATAATTTTTTTTTTAAAAATAATACTTTATTTGTTGCTATCGTTTGAATATATGGACTCTGTAAGAAATTGGATCTCATAAATAATGATCTTATATTATCAATTTTTAATTTTAAATAATTAAAAATTTAAAACTTTATAATACATAATGTAGATTTTAATAATAATTTCGTAATAATAACGTTCAAAGATGATTAAGAGTCATAAAATAGAATTTTAATTCTTCTCATCTCAAATATTTTAACAAATAATATGTTTCTCAATGTTGTCTCATTGTTTTGTTTTGTTTGATTTTGTCATTGGTGAAGAATCAAGAAAGGAACTATATCTCGAGGTTTTTTGAGTATTATGTATGATGCATAAAGTTGGACGATAAAAGCATTAAAAAGTTATTGGACACATAAATATTACAAATCCAAACGAATGTGAAAGATATGAAGATAAATAATTCTAAAATCATTGCAAGAACTAGATGGTCAATGATTTGCAAACAATAGATTATATAGTTCGTCTATCTTCCAAATAAATGACATTGAAAATGAAACGTTGGAGCCTGATCAAAACATTTTTGAATGTTTGAATGAAGTTGACACTTCTTATAGGAATATTTATAATTTCATTGGTGTATTGTGCTTGAACATATGTGCAATTATTTTATAGTATGAACTTTTAGTTAATGTGTGATGATTTAAAAAAAAAAAACCTCGGGAAAAGTATATGTAATAGATATTTTGAATAGTCAACTTTTATTTAGAGATGAAATTCATTCCCTTCCGTAGGGGATATATCCATGGGGTAGGTATCAATAATTTGTCGATATATATAGAGAGAGTAATTTAATATTTTATACAATGATAAAAAATAATCAACAATTTTAATGACACGATTTATTATTTTGCAGATATATTCATGCATGGTTAGTAGAAATATAAAGATAATACAACCATGAAGTTTCACTATATGTTTGGTTAGAATATTTATTAAGTGTTTGAATAAAGTAGACGTTTTGCCAAATGAATTAAGATGAATTTTACAATACTATTGAATCAATAATGCTTCTTATGGACGTAAAAACAAAATGAAAGAGAACGCTATCGAATCATCTAACATAAACAAATAAAAGAATTAATGCATGTATAATATATATTAGTCATTATTTAGTTATTTAGTATTTTTGTTGGGGTTGTAATATGTTATTTAATTATTTTTATATTAGGACATCGTTAAGTTATTTTAGAAAAAATAATTTGTTTCTATATTTTGTTTCATTAATTTGTTCTACATTTTGTTTTATTCATGCAAGGATATATTTAATAAATTAATTTATTTATTTTACAAAACTTAATCGGCAAAAAACGATTACATTATGAGCTCATTTGTTCTACGTTTTATTTCATTCTTGCAACGATATTTTTAATAAATTAATTAATTTATTTTACTAAACTTAGTTGGGAAAAAACATTCGCCACCACGTGCATCGCACGTGCACTTTACTAGTTTACAAAATAACTAAATAGGCCCTCTATCTACACAGGGTTGTAATATTAGTAACTTTCAGAATCAAATTTTATAGTATTAAATAAAATAAATCTAGGCAACTAACTAATTGAACTGTAACATTAAAGTTTAAACATTTCAGAATATAGTTAACCAAATTAGTTCTTAGAACGCTATTCATAAACAGATCAATTTTCATTAGTTTCTCTTGCCTATAGTTCGTAAACCAAATCAAGCATAAAACTTCAATAATTCTTCTTTATGTTATTTCCATCTTTAAGTAACATGGAAATTTAATACTTTACTAAAATAATTGAGTGTACTAGACTAAGAAAATAAATGAAG